TGCAGGGGAATGGGGGAGAAAAGAACCAAGATACATCATGTAAATATCCCAATGATGAATGTAACTGTATTGTATACCTAAAATGTACCGATAAACTTAATGGAAAAAAATGGCCATATCTCCAAAATTGATGTACAGATTTAATGTAATCCCAATCAAAATGCCAACAGTAAAATTCATATAGAACCAGAGAGACTCAGAATAGCAAAAGCAATCCTACAAAAGCAAAGAAAGAGGCATCACAGTTCCATATCTGAAAGTTATATTACAAAGTTACTGTGATTAAAGCAAGATAAAACTGGAACAAAACAGGCCCATGTTAATCAATGCAGCAGAGTAGAAAAAAGAGAAATAGTCCTAGGGATGCTCAATTATTTGATCTTTCACAAAATGACCAAAAACATACACTAGAGGAAGATAGCCTCTTTAATGAACGGTGCTGGGAAAATTGTATATCCACATGCAGACAACTAAGTCTAGACTTATACATCTCATCATGTACTAAACTAAAATCAAAATGGTTGAACGATCTAAATATAAAAACAGAAACATTTTATCTGCTGTAAGATAACATAGGTAAAACTCTTGAAGATAGGCATAGGCAAGGACTTTCTAAATATAACCCCAATTGCATAAGAAATTGTACCAAGAATTAATAGATGGGATCATAACAAATTAAAAATCTTCTGAACCATAAAAGAAATAGCCAACAGAGTGCAGAGACAACCTACAGAATGGATAATATTTTTGCCCACTATTCCTTAGAAGACTACTATCTAGACTATATAAAGAACTAAAAAAGAAAAAAGAGAGACCATCCCCAACTAAAAGACCCAGTACAAAAAAAGGGCAACCAAAATGAATAAATATTTCTCTGAAGAAGTAAAGATGGCCAATAAATACACAAAAAAATGTTCAATATCTCTGGCCATTACAGAAAAGCTAATTAAAACAATACAACAAGGCTGGGGATTTAGCTCAGGCAAGAGCAAGGTCCTGAGTTCAATCCCCAGTACCAAATGGCTATCATCAAGAAACCAAATAAATGACAATGTGAAATAGGAAGAAAAGGGCTAAAGGTGTAGGGGAAGTGGGAAGGGTAGGGGAAAGAAAATAAGGGAAAAGAAAAAATATGAGAAAATGATAAAAATGGAAACAAAGATTTTTTTAAATAGGAAAGGGTAGAGGGGGTGAAGGGAGGGCAGGGATAAGGGGAAAAAAATGAGAACCAAGACCTGTCATGTAAAGGTACAATATCCTAATGATGAGTATAACTGTACTATATACCTAAAAAGTACCAACAAACTCAATGAGAAAAAAAAAAAAAAAAGAAACCAAATAACAAATGCTGGCAAGGCTGCAGGGGAAAAGGAACTCTTCTACATGTTGGTAGTCAATTTGGAGATTTCTTCAAAAACTAAGATTAGAAATTCAATTTCACTTAAAAGTCATCATAGTATAAGGATACGTTCATACCCATAGTTATAGCAGCACATAACATAATAGCCAAATCTTGAAAATGGCCTATATGTCTATCACCAGATGAATGGATAAAGAAAATGTGGCATTTATACACAATTGAGTAATATTCTGATTCATAATGAAGAATAAACTTGAGTCACGTATGGAAAAATGTATGCACCTTGAGGCTACAATATTAAGTGAAATAAATCAGACTCACAACTTAAATATTGCATTGTTTCTATGAGAAACCCAAACTATGAGTAAAGAACAAAATGAAAGATAATGGGAAAATGAAAGATAGGTCTTTTGCAAAAGGGAAGACTAAGGGATGGAGGAAGTATGGAGGGAAAAAAGGAAAAGGGGACATAAATAGAATCAAGATATGTTATGTACATATACCAACTCCCATGAAAAATGTAATCATTATGTACTACAAAGATATATCAATAAACAATAATAATATAATTATATAAACTGCCATCCCACTTAAAGAAAAATTATTTTATACCTTTGCATATGTATTTTGCTTCTCCTTCAATCTGCTTCTTACTTTCTCCTCTGTTATCTACTATGAGGAATTCTTTTTTATCATCTCCCTGCTATTCATAATGAAAAAAAAAAGATGCCTTGCATATATAGTCGTAAACAATATGTACGTTGATAGGTTTTCCTTGATCTTGTACGTTATGAAATCCTAACACTCTAAAAAAGAATCAGTCATCATATTTAATAACTAATATGATCGATAATATGACAGGCCCTTGTAAGTTTCCTACTTCCTTCATTTTCTACAAAACTTTCACTTTCATTGATTATCCCGGCCAATTTTCTGGGTGGACAGCAAGAGCATAGAAGCACCGGACACCATGCTATCCAGCAACACCCTCACCCCCACCTCTCAGTCCCACTTTGCTCCTGTAGTTGCCATGGGTTTCGCTGGATTATCTCATATCTGTTTGTCAGTTTTTCACTTTCATCTGCATATTACCGTATTTGTTGGTAATACACCCATCTGGCTTATAAATTCTATTTTCTTAGGACATCTCATGGAGAATACGCCATGGTAAGAAAGCAGATATTTTTTTTGTTGGACAGTGGTAAAGAGAACTTGATTTGTACTTTCAAACCCTGGAAGCCCTTCCTCACTTCAGGATTGGCAACACAGGCATACATCATCTATCATTTTGTAAACATCACTGAATTTTAGAAATCTGTGTGCTTTCTTTTTGAAAGAATATCATGCTCCACAAAAATTCTGTTTTTTTGTTTTTTTTTGGTACTGGGGACCGAACTCAGGTCCTTGTGCTTGTGAGGCAGGCGCCGGAAACAGAGCCAAATCCCCAGCCTGAAAATTCTGAACTTTCAGAGCAAATCCTTTGTGATGAACAGTTGGCACAAGTCTATAAGAATAATATGATTTCCTTTTACCAATTAAAAGATGAATAACTTATCAAATTTCAATTAAGGCTGTTGAATAAATCGATACATTTAAAAATCATCATATGATTAGTACTTTCATAATTTTTGCTATGTCTTCATACAACACAAATATGGGTTTCTTATATCAGATTTACTAAAATTAACCTATTTTTTAAAACTAAATAATTTTAGCTACAATTTAAAGAACATACATGAAATAATTTTCTGATTTTTATTTAACATTTTTCAAATTCACATTATGTTAATTATACTAATCTTTAAAAAAGACAAAAGCCTGCTTAACTATTATCAGCTCAAGTTGTCTTGTGTAACACTAGTGGTATGTGTACCAAACACTGGAGGAGACACATAAATTACTGAATGGTGTACTGATTGAGGAAAGATTCCAAGAGTCAAAGATAATATGCCTTTCTTCCCTTTATTTTTTTTTTAAATAGCATTTTCCCCCCTGAAGATTCTAAAAACACATATCATTTCATTTGGTAATGAATATCGCTAACATGGCTTAGTTGGTACACAACCTTGGTGAGCTTGAAATTTTGCTAAATAAATTACTTAACATTTATAAATATACATCATTATGTAAACATTTTTATATATAAAATTGTTTATGTTGCTCTACAGTGGAGCAAGACAGGATGATACTATCATCAAGGTTAGCTAATTATCAGATATCTCCTATCATTATCTTGTTTTATTTCTGTTGTAGGGATATAGCTTTCCTGCATAAAGTAAGAATGCTGTATATTAGTGACAATTTTTTTGTTTTGTTTACAAAGCTTTTGACTTAAAATTATACTCTTTGGTGACAAATCCAACATTTTTCAACTTTGAGTTGGCAAAAACAGATTGCCCCTGAAGTACAATATTTAAGTTTGTGATCCTAACTGGGAAATGTATACTATATCTGAGGTTTTTTTATGTGTTGGCTTATCATCTAGACAAGCTGTCATCTTATGCTTTGATGGTTTAATGATAAGCATTTTTATCTCACTAAACTTTCAAAGAAATGTTGGCAGTAGCATTGTTTCTAGAGGGAGAGTTGCCCAGCAACTTGGATTTTCACAAAGATCTTAATAGCTTCCAGCTTCAGTAAATGTTTGATCATAATTTGCCTTCCTGTTTTATCTACAACAGTAGACAGAGGGTTGTTGGGGGATAAGTAAATAGAAGCTTCTACTACATTCTAGTTCAATGTTTTAAATTATAATGAACTTGGATTTCTTGTTTTTATATTTGAATACATATGGTTTCTACATTTACTGAATTTCAAACTCTACACAGTCTATCAAGTGTTAATTTAATGAAGGTGAAAATTAAAATTTTGCATTCTGATTTTACAAGATTATGATAAATAATTTTGTTAACAAAAATTTTTTAAAAGATTCAGCAATATTAAAAAAGCTTCTGAAGCCAAGTGTGGTGGCACATACCTGTAATCCCAGCACGTGTGAGGCTGAAGCAGGATTGCAGCAAGTGCAAGGCCAGCCAGGGCTACACAGTGAGACCCTATCTCAAAACACACCCATACACACACACACACACACACACACACACACACACACAAATATTTTTGAATTATCAGTCTCTCTGATCTTCAGCAGTTTATAGGGAAAAGATGTATTTCATTCTCTTCAGTATTTCCCAAAGAGTAACTGTGTTCATAGGTATTACCTGAAATTGAAAAATGTAGATTCTCAGATCATATTTTCATACCAAGTGTTCATTTGTTCTCTAGGGTCTGAATTTAAGAATCCAATAGAAATGCCTGCTAAATTGTGAATATTTTCTCTTTAAACCTCAGCTAATTTGAACAAATGAAAAATGTATTGTGAAAAGCACAAATACCAGTGCAGAATGATTTTTCAAGTGACCTGTTAGCACCATTAATTGTAAGGTAACTCCTTTACAGAAAAACCCTTTAAAAAGACATTAAAATATACTTCCAAAATTACTGAAATAGTTATAAAGTAAAACTATATGTTCTGATCAAGCATCCCCAAAATTCGTGTTGAAACTCTAACCCCAAAGTGACAGTATTAGGAGGTAGTATTTGGAGCCTTTGGGAAGTTATTAGGCTTAGATAAGGAACGAAGATGGGGCCCTTGCAAGAAGAGAACACTGAAAGCTGCTTCTGTCTCAGCCACATGAGAACAAAGTGTCAAAAGCCACTCTGCAGGACAGGAAGAGGCCCTCACCACAACGCAACATGTTGGTCCCCTAACTTGGTCTTGAAGCATCTAAAAGTACGAGAAAATAAATTTGTTATTAAAGCCATTCAGTTCACAATACTTAATTATAGCAGCCTGAGCAAACTAAGACACCAGACAAAAATTTTTTTTGGTATGGGGAATGGAACTCAGGGCCTCATGCTTGCCAGGCAGGCACTGCACTGCTGAATTATATATCCCAGCCCTAAAAATGTGATTTTAGATTTAGGGAGAAGAATTATTTCCAGAAAAATGATACTCATGGACAGGTAGAACAATAGGTATTTGTTATCTTAACAATTCCTTTTTGGAGAGCCACGCCTGCTCCTGACTCAGCCACCAACGCTCAAGTGCTGGGAGGAAGCCTGGGACCCGATCCACCGCAGGAAGGAGAACCACGCCAGCTCCCGACCCAGCCGCCATCTCTCAAGCACCGGGAAGGTAGCCGCGGGGGCGCCCCTGAACCCCCATAAACCCTCCCCCGCACTCTCAGACCTCCTGACTGTGCCAGTCTTTGGACCCACTCTGCAAAGACAGAGGTGGTCATCAAGGGTATTTTTCTGAGTTCCCAACTTTGAACATCTTTAAAGAAAGGGCGTGGGAAACCTGTAATAGAACATTGCGGAGTTCAGCCATTCAGAAGGATGGGGAACTCAATCTGGGCCTTACAGCCTGAGGTCAGTCAGCGTCAGGGGGTTCAGCCATCAGCTAACTGAGATCAGGGGTCTTGCATCCTTGCTCTGTCTGAGCCATTAAATGGTAAATACACTATATTGAAATTTTGTTCACTGCAGACATGTTCTGGATTGCTTCTTGATTTCAATTTAATTCAAATGATTTAGGGTGATAGACTACTGACTACCACAGGTGGTCAGTGTCCAAGTTGTGCTTGATCTTAATGTGTCGCTGATTGTATCACTTGGGGTAAAGCATTGCTGTTGATTTGATGAGCTGTTTTCTCTGATGTTATGAAGATGAGAATGTCTGTGGGTCGTTAGAGACACAGAAGCTAGGGCGCAACTATACCAGGAAGATTTGGGTGATAATCCAGAGATTAAACCAAGGACAGTCCGACAACAAAAATAAAAATGAGAAAACACTTAAGCAAGACACAAGGACAGACTTCCAGTTTACCAATGGCAAACAGTAGGGCAAATGAGCATGAAAAGGCCGATAGTGAACCACCAGGACACCCTGAACTCAAAGCACAGGAAGTAACCAAACAGATCAATCAGGATCTGGAAAAATTCAAAACAGAAATAATTTTCCAGACAACCATAGAGATAGTGAGCAAAATGGAAGTCATGATTCGAGACTCTAGAGCAGAAACTGACAAAAAAATAGATGAGCTCAGGACCATGATAGAAGCCATGAAGGCCCAGCATAAGAAAGAAATGGAAAAAATAAACGCCCAACATAGGAAAGAAATGGAATCCATAAAACAGATTCAAACAGATATCCAGGAGATTAAACACTCTATTGAAAGTGTACGCAACAGAATAAAAGAATGCGAAGATAGGCTCTCAGATATAGAAGATAAGATTGCAGTCAGTGACCATGAAAAGAGAGGTCTCTTAAAAACAGTAAGAGATCATGAGAAATCGATCCAACAACTCCTAGATGATGCAAAGAAGAATAACATAAGACTGATAGGAATACATGAAGTAGCAGGAGAAAATACAAATGACTTAAAAAAGCTGTTTGCAGAATTAATGACAGAAAACTTCCCAAACAGAGGGGAAGAATTTGACATTCAGATAACTGAGGCATATAGGACCCCAACTAGCTACAATCAAAAAAAATCTACACCTAGACATATAATAATCAAGATCCCAGAAACCCAACAGAAGAACAAAATACTACAAGCAGTAAGAGAAAAGAAACAAATCACATACAAAGGAAAGCCCATCAGAATCACAGCAGACTTTTCAACACAAACCCTTGGGGCAAGGAGAGCCTGGAATGAGATATTTCAAGTACTAAAAGAGAACAACCTCCAACCTAGACTGATGTATCCAGCAAAACTCTCTTTCAAAATGGATGGGGAAATAAGACACTTCCACGACAAAGAACACCTGAGAAACTACATGAATACCAAACCAGCACTACAAGCAATTCTAAACAAGATCCTAGAAAAAGACAATGAAGGCAACAACACCATGAGGCCCAACAGAGCAAATCAAATAGGCAAGGCAAGAAATTAAAAGGAGAAGGTGAAAAAGTAAAAAGAGTCAACAAAAGGCCAATAACATGTCAATAATAAGTCAGTACATATCAGTTATAACCAGCAATGTCAATGGCCTCAACTCACCAATCAAGAGAAATAGACTGGCAAAATGGAATAAGAAGCAAAATCCAACAATATGTTGTATACAAGAAACACACCTAGTGCAAAAAGAAGCCCATAGACTGAAAGTGAAAAGATAGAAAACAATTCTCCATGTGACAGGAGCCCAGAAAAAAACAGGGGTAGCAATCTTATTTGCAGACAAAGTAAATTTCAAACCAAAACTGAATCTAGTATTATTGATGTAGGACAGTACTGTATCATACCTCTATGAATGTAAAATATCTAGTACCTGCTTTATGATACATAGTAGGGACCGTGCTTTATCAGAGCTACATTTAATGATATTACTCTAGAATGTTCTCTTTCCAGATGATGATTAAGAGGCTAATAGAAAAAATGGTGCCAGGTACCACAACAGCAACAGAACTTTGCTGTTGTCTGGATATTATTCTTTTCTTTGTTTTTTTTTTTTTTTTTTTTTTGTTTTTATGGAATGTGCTGAATGTCTACAATTTTGTTCAGATGACCGCAGAACCTGGAAAAGCTGTTGCTGCTATCGATGCATAACATACTATTATTAGTCTTTATATATATAAATTGAATTTTGGGAAACTTTAACGGTGCTGCCAACTTTGGAAAAAGTCATCCCAATTTACTGTGTTGACTTGGCATTGTACAGAAATGGACAACCATATTGGTCTAGAAATGTTAATTTATTTTTATTTTTTATTTTTTTTCCATGTATACGGGGTAACACATGGTACTAAACATGTAAGGTTATATCTACATGGGTTTGATTACAGAAACTATTTAATAAAGTATTCGCTAAATAATGAAAAAAAGAATAACATAAGACTATAAGAGCGAGAAGCAATTTAAATATGTTCAGGGACTATATTCATGTCCAGAATTAAGGATTATTTTAATGTTACATCATTGCCTTTTCTCTTTTACTTTCCTTTTTAGTTTTATTTTAGGATTCCCTATTTTTAATGTTCATACAGAGATTTCTTTAACTGAAATACCGAATAGTTTCTTTGGTGTGAAAAACTATAATAGTACACAGGATCCTAATGAGATAATTAATAATGTGAAATAGGAAGTAAAGGGCTAAAGGCGTAGGGAAAGCGGGAAGGGTGGGGGAAAGGTAATAAGGGAGAGGGAAAAAATATGAGAAACTGAAAAAATGGAAATAGTGTTTGTAAATGGGGAGGGGAGGAGGGGGTGAAGGGAGGGCAGGGACAAGGGGAAAAATGAGAATCAAGACCTATTATGTAAAGGTACAGAATCCCAATGATGAATGTAACTGTATTGTATACCTAGATTGTACCAATAAACTCAATAAAAAGGAAAATAATGTGATTTTAATTAATTCCTGTCCTTGCATATTATAACAGAATACGCGTTCCTCAAATTAATTTAAATTACTTAAGAAACATTGGACAAGAACAAAAAAATTAATTAGCAAAATTGTTTCGGCTATCAGGTCATATAGGTATAACAACTAAATGCTCAGATTGTATTAATTTTTTTCATATTTTACTTCAGATTCTTAATTCCGTTTTGTTAATAGTGTTCTTTGATTAAAATAAAAGCTGCCTGGTCATTAATAAATTTGTCTGCCTGTGAATAGGAACTATTAGCATTTTTGCTAATACTTTGATGCTGCTGACTGTCAGTTTCCTCCAATTCAGAAACTGTTGTTAATTTTAAATTGCTCAAAATCTTATATGAAAGTTTCTTCACTAATTACTGTCTTATGGAGTTTTTATTTGTTTAATATTTGTTGAGTGCCATGTTCGAAGTGTCATGTGACATCAAGACATTAATTTGTCCTGATTGTCAAACTTCTGCAAATAAAATGAGAAGAAAGCACTTTTCTACTCAGATCTGTGTAATTTCATTTACCATCAATATTTTAGCATATCACGGAAGCGCAAAGAACCTGTCAGTGTCTAATATTCCAACGAATTCAGTGGTTTGGCTAAAAAAAAAAAAATTTTTTTTAAACTGTTTCAGGAGATCCGGATCAAACGGTGAGAATTTGAACAATTCACAATCTTTGCCTGCACGTCAGTTAATCCAAGAACGAAGGAAAAGCTTTGGAGATGACTATTAAAAAAACAAAAAAGAAAACACTCCATGATTTAGCTTTTCTCACCTTGTAATCTAAAGATGAACTACAGAATAAAAACTTGCATTTGGATCAAGTCACTGAAAAGCCTGCAAAGGAGCAGACAGCTGAAACAGCCGAAAGACCTAGTGACCGACCTCTAATCTTTGCAGCTCTACAACCAGAAAAGCCAACCAACTTCACAACTCAGACATTTCTGGCCGCTGTGTTTAGTGACCTTGTGCCCAGATTGAAGTCTTCTCTTCTATTTTTTTTCTTTCTGCAGCGGCTCGAGCTCGCCTCCGCTCTGGACTGCTCTGCACGCCGGGCACAGCCAGGGTGAAGCGCTCCCCCCCCCCGCCACACCCACGCCTCCCGGCGCGCGCCTCCTTCCCACAGAAAAACGCGTTTCCCGGCAACAGCGGGCCGTGGCGTCACTTCCGGCCATTTAAACTGGGTCCCAGCGCTCGCAGCCCCAGCTCCTCTTTTCCACTCCCCCTCCCCTCGGCCGAGGGTTTCCTTCCCGCGTCCCCGGGCTTGGGGAGGGGGCGTAGGCAAGGCGCGCGAGCGGCCGCGAGTTCCGGGCGCGGCGCACCTGTTGT